TTCCACTCATCCATTCACCCATCCATTCATCTACCAAACTGTCCATCCATCCATCCATCCATCCATCATCTACCTATCCATCCGTCTGCCTACCTATCTCACCCATCTACCCACCCACCTGTCTATCTACCAGTCTGTCCATCCACCCATTGGTCTACCCAGTTACCTATATATCCCCCCATCTTTTTATCTGCCCATTCATTTAGTCATCCACTTCTTACTTCATTCATTCCTCAAATGTTCATTGACCCTTGTCCCAGGGCTGGCTTGTGGAAGAGGAGCTCCGGCCCTGCTCCCTAAAGGGCACAGTATGCAGTAGCTGCAGACTTGGGATCCAGAGTCATTCTCACACCCTTGTGATGATCCCCAGGCTGCATGCAGTGTCTCACTGCACCAGGAGGTGAGGAGGGCCGTGTGCTGGTTCTGCAGGAAGGTGCTCTTAAGATGAGGGAGCATTAACAGGGGCAAAAGAGATCAGCTGCTGTTTTTACCCCAGACTCTCTGTTGTCCCCTCTGCCCATGTGCCCCAATGTACATCAGGGTGCTCAGAAAGTGCTGGTAGGTGTCAGAATAATCAGGAAGACCTTCTGTGTGAAGCTGCATCCTGAAGCGAGAGAGGTCCCGTGAGAGCAGAGAGCTCAGGAAGTCTCAGGGTGCTAGATCTCACATACTGCCAGCACTGGGCAGTTGCAGCTCCCAGAGTCCTCCTACCATAGGTAGTAAGGTGGGAATCCTCCATCCCCACTCCTGGGTACTCACCACCAAAAGTGTCCAGAAGCTGAACTCCTGGGAAGCTACTACTGCTCCTTGAGTTCTCACTAGTCCCATCTTTCACTACTCCTGTCTTGACCCAGGAGACACTACTGAGAGACAGAGACAGAGCTAAGGCAAGAAAAGAGTGCGATCACAAACGAAGGTACACAGTCAGTCCCCTGCCCAAAGCACAGGGTGCTGTGACTGCTGAGTGGCAGCCCACATAATCCCGCAGCCCAGGGAAGGTGGCTTTCTCTTTAAAGATCCAGGATTTGCTACTGATCCTTGGGGGCTACTTTGTCCTTCCCCTGAGCTTCCTCCCTGGACCTTGTGTTCTAGATAAGTATAGGGGACGTCCTATGGGGCCAAGAGCCCTAGACAGGCAAGAGGTCAGAAGGGCCTGACAGAGCTTTACAACAATGAGAAATGAATAGACCTTAGGGCTAGAGGCCTGGCAAGGACCTGGCCAGAGGGACAGAGAAGACCTAGGCACAGGCTAACAGTCCAGTAGGATACCTAGGGTCTTCCCTACCTGTGTAGCAGATGGGAAAGTCTCTAGTCTCTACTCCCTCTCCAAATACTGCTCATATACTGAGGCCTCTGAGCCTTTGTGCATGTTCCCTCTGTATGCAACACCCTTCCCAGCTTTCCCCATTAACATCTTCCTGTACACTCAGAGCTCTCCTCTGCCTCCCAGGTTCCACCCTCCTGACATTCATTCCTGTCCCCTCCCCATCTGTGCTCCTCCCCAGGGCCAGATGGCTGTGACGCAGACTCAGACTCCTGGGCTGCACTCCCCACACTCTTTCAGAGTGACCTCATCAGCCTCATGGCTTGCAACCCTAGCTACAAACAACTCCCAAATTTGTATCTCCAGTCACACAGTGTCTCCCTTCAGACTGAGATCCAGCTGCCTCCCCAGCTTGGCCTTCTGTGGCTCAAAGGTAGGCACCTCAACCAGTCTGGAGCAGACTGCCTGCCAGGGCTTCACTCTATTCTCCCAGCAGTCTGGGGGCTGAGAAAATGGCCACCTCCTTCCTCCTCTGGCTTTATCCCAAAACCACCAGCCTGCCCTGATTGTCCTTGTCCCACTTGAGTCCACAGCAAGCCTGCAGGATCCCAGAAACATTTAGACTTGACAACTGCTTGACTCTTCCCAGCACCCCCAGCTCTCCCTTGGTGGGCAACAAGCCTCCAGTAACTCCCTGCTTCTTACCTGCTGCCTGAATGGGCCCCCCTCCCCTTGACCGCTCTGGTTCCTTCTACTATCTACCACTTCTCCATAGAGAAGAGCAGCTGTCCTGCCTGAGGCCTAAGACTGGGTGGCAGGAACTTGGGACATTATATATGGAAGCCATGGGTGGCATAGGAGTCCCAGGAACCAAGGCCAGAGCCTCATTGGGAACCAACACTGGCAGGTATTGTGGCTTGTGGGCAAAGACAGGCTCCTGACATTTCTCAGGCTGAGAATTGGATGGAGCCTAAGTAAGGACTAGGTGACCTTTTCTTCCTTGGGACAGAGTGAGGGGAGGTACCCCGTGACTCTTCATCAGGGATTAAGGGAACCAGCCTAGGCTGCTTTGATGCTGCAGGGCTCCATGTCCCTTCGGTGGCAAGAGGCTTCGGGTAATCTAATTAGTGTGCCCTGTGGATGGCCAAGTAATCCAGGCCTTCAGACTCAACTTTCTTTAAGCCTGCCTCTACCTGTCTCTCTCTTAATCCTCTCCTGCCTCAGTGATTTCCAGCAGGGCTAGACTTATCTCCATTCAACAGATCAGTAAACCAGGACTTCAGAAGACAGTGTTCGAGATGCCACAGCTAATCTGACCCTTTGAACCCAAGCCATTGGACCCCAAAGCCCAGAAGCTTAAAACAAGTTGCATCATCTCACATGTTATCTTAGAATATCCAGGCATAACCACCTTTTAATCTTCTCATTAAATACTTGAGGAAATGGAGGCCCAGAGAAGGCAAGACGCTTGCCCAGAGCCACACAGTGCTCAATCAGGTAGGGCACAAGAGTCTGGGTCTTCTGTGGACTCTACCCATAGCACCTGCTGCACTGAATTCTCCAACAGCTTTGGCACCCTCTCCTGTTGAAGGCACCCAGTTCCGAATCCCAAAGCTCCATTGTGCCCATTTTTAAATATAGATTACTAATGAAATGCCTTCTCCGTTGCCTTCCCAGTGAACAGTTGCCGCGTAAAGTTAATTTGCAGTGTTATGTAAATTCTGTTTAACTTCAATCAAGTTTCTAATTATGTTTTTACTGCAGTAATTCCCATTTGATTTGTCATCTCCTGTTAGGTATTTAATGTTCGGTGGGCGGGCTTGCTTTCCTCTCAGTTTTCAGGGCCTGCTCCCCCCGACCTGCCTGCCTCTCCTCTTTGCTCCACCGCCACCTGCTCACCTCCTGCCCATCCACTTCCTCTTCCTCCTCCTCTCCTCCCTCTCACCTTCTCCTCTCTGTCTTGTGTCATCCTCTCCTCTTCCTCCTCCCTCCCCTCCTCTCCCTCTTCCCTCTTATGTCCTCTCCCTCCTCCCTTGTCCCTCCTCCCACCCTCACTTGCCTCTTGCTTCTGTTCTCATCCTTCCAGGCCTTCCTTTCTTTGTCCTGTGTTCTGTGCCCACCCTGGTCTTGCTCTACTCTGTTCCCATCCTGTTTGTCGCCCACCCAGAATTACCCACTTCCTTGAGTCTTGAGTCTTCTCTCTGTGTCCCCCAAAATATGTGTAGGGACTGCTTCCTTGAGGCCCCAGTACTGAGGGAAAGTGAGGCTACTGAATATGGATCCTGGGCACCTTTGCAGAAACCACAACCTAGCTTTGGAATTGTAAGGTAAGGGCTTGGCCTGGCACCAGGGGAAACCGCTCCTAGGCTGTGGAGTAAGACATGAGTGAGAAACATGGGCTCCAGTATTGAATGCTATGGGTTTGAGTCCTATCTCTACCTGTAGCTGACAGACAATCTTCTTGTGCCCACCCCTCCAACCTATGAAGTGGAATGACACGAGTCCTCATGCTTAGCTACTGTGAGGACAGGTGAGGTGACTGTAGTTGGGGCTCTGCGAAGTTGGCCATGCCTCTCACTTCTCTGTGACCTTTCAGGTTTGCTTCTGTAAGAGTCAGGACTGTCAGGTCCTGAAAGTGAGGCCAGGCCTGAGCCAGGGTAGATAGGAGTTG